GCGGTCCATCGATTCATCTACTTACTGCGGGCTTTACTGCGTGTAAATGAATGCAGTCATTAATTGCTTTTGCGTGAAAGCATCAGCATTCATCTCTTGGAAAACAAGCTGACAAGTCATAATTAGTACCAGGGCTACCGATGGAGAAGTGAGGGCAAAGCATCTTCACTAACAACTCACCTTTTCTGCAAAAATTCTCTGGAAATTCGAGAATTCATCTCGTATTTTCAGTTTCTCCAAAAGCTCCCTGATGTTTGCGATACTCTCAGGGGCGGACTTCCCGTAGTGTTCCTGAAATAGAGACAGGGTGACTAAAATGTTCTCCTGCGGCGTTTGGGTTGCCCTGTTGTTGTTCGGGTCCGCTTGCGTGTCGTATTGCAGCACGTGCCATGAATTGAAGAAAAGTTTGCAGTTTTAGTACAGTATCTCAAGCGTTTACAATCCCTGATAGCAACCTCACACGCTTAATGGTTTCTAGCATGCTCTTTTATTGTCTCTTCAACACCACGGGTAGGATCCTTCCTTCTTGACATTAAGCTGTGCAGGTTCGTAGACGCTTATGGCGTGCCATTTTTGCCACTCCTAGTGCCCGCTTGAGCCGTCAGAGGCTCGCCGCCCATGAAAGCCTCCGCCCAATGGGTTGATCGCACGCCCACCACCAGACTGCTGTCTCCTCAGCGCACTGGTTCTTTGTGCAGCTATGTGATCTTTCATTAGCCCATGTTATACTTATCTGGCCAGCGTGTACAACACTTCCTTCCCTCTGCATTCTTAGCATACTGTCCTACCGTAGAGCAGAGCCGTAACTTTGGGCGTATTCGATCAATTTTTTGCTTCTTCTTTCTCACCGGTAGATCACCAAGCATTTGAAGATTCACGAGTCGGATCGGGCTGACGCCGAGCTCTCCTCCTCTTTGGCCGGCTTCGCCGTGCTGACATAATGAAAACCGAATTTTTCCAGTCACTGAGCTGCTCATGCTGCTCTGTAGTTAGCGAATCGTGACAGATAAAGCAACCCTGCATATGCTGCACTATCTAGCACATGCTTATATTTGCAGGAGGGTTGGTTTGCGCCATACGCCCATATAGCACATTGATCTGTAGATAAAGACAGAAAGTGCAGTCGGCGAACAGAGCGCAATATGAATCGCTCAGTAGAGAACAAATTCTGTTTCCATTACCTGCGCCGGAATGCCTACCGATGAACGCTTCCCTTTTTGATTACCATCAATCCGCTCACGATGAATCTATATAATAATTGCTAGTGCTATACTCCCTTTGTTATTGCTATGAGTAATCGAGATTACCGGTTCAGTCAAGTTTTCCTGATTGTTCGCTGCGTTTCAGGCAGCTATCACCCCCCCCCCCCCTTTTCGCTCGTCGCATAGTCATTACGTAGCTAGACATGGTGGGATGAGTTGCATTTTCGTAGTGACATCAGAGAAGATGGTGGCTGAAGGAGAAGTTTGCTCCTGAGACCATTCAATACTTGGGGCGGGTTGTGATTAAGAGATGTTTGTAAAAATCTCCCTTATCCGTTCTTATCAATTGTTTAAGATTGCTGTCGCATTCATCATACTGTCCATGCCCGCTATCACTAGAACTCTATAATTTGATAGTGTAGGGGCTATAGCACATTGACTGAACAACAACGGCAAGGCTCCATATCAGCCTATTATCACTTCCTGTCACTCGCCGTTGCAATTCCCACCTCTCCCTCTATAACATTTTTGTTGAAAACACTAGCTGGTGCTGTATCCAGCGTTATGAGTATGGTGACCTTCCATCCGATCCCTTGTCAAATTCCATCAGCTACTGGCAGTTCTTATCACTCACCAATAATATTCTCGTGCCATAGCCTATACCATACCTTGGGACAAACGCCTCAATGTTTCTGACCCGCGCTATGCAATCGGTGCCCCTCCCCTTCTCACGCTTGTTATCAAATCTTATCAGGCGATGTCACTCCCTGTTAATGTTCCCGTCACAACACCTATGTCACTGCTCGGTAATGCGACTTCAGCTAGCAGGCCAAATGGAACGGTCGCTAATGAATTTCGTTGACAAAACACACAGACAGACAGACATACTTAGCAATTATAATATAGTAGCTATATAACCCCATAGCCCACGACCTGCATCAGTGAAATGCCGTCTTTAGCGAACAGCTTTCAGCAACTGGCGCGGGCTGGGGCGTGCCAGACCAGAAAAGTCGGAGCCGCCCTGCTACGCCCTATCCATGCGCAGCGAACAAAGGCGTTGACACAATACGGCGGCGTCGTAAAAAAGTTCCGGTGGCTCTATGCATTGTATATGTATAGAGAAGGACTTGTCTGCCGCGGATGCTGAGGCGTGTCATTTGGCTGGTTTCACACGGGCACTCAGCGTTTTCAAACCAATGGCTGTCGGCTTTCTCTTGCCTGAAAACTGCTGCAGATGTGCAGGCCGCGCCAACTCCTGAGCACACGAGCAACATCTCAGCTGAACACTGACTCGTACAGGATGACTTCCCCAAACAGAAAGCACTGGTGTCGAGTACATGAAAGATTTTTGAGCTCAGTATGTTAGCAGCAAGCCCAATAAGGATAGCTGACATTACTATTAGAAAACTATAAATTCACCTTGAAATCGCTCATCTCTGGTTTCCCTCGCGAGATTTCTGGGGCCGCTCGGACGCGCACCATGTACATTTTCCGTCTTGTATATCAGTGCCGACTTTACCCGTAACATTTGGATCACCGTACACATCAAGCAAATCATCCTCAAAAGAGATAAAACTAGTTTCATAGGTAACTCGGCTCGGTGACTGGCAGGCCACATCACATTCGAAATTCGATAAGCCACTACGACTCTGAATGGAAGTAGAGTGCGTAAATTTCCACATCCCACAAAGGCAAGGGATTGATCAACGGCAACGACTTTATCCATATACTCTAACATAATCACTAACAGTAATATGAAATTTACCTGTGATTGGAAAAGAAACCCTATTTGATAAGCGAGTCGCCGTACTACTTGGTGATTGTCGAGTCGATCGCTCACCAACATGGACATCTCTATGGGATGATAAAACGAGTAGTGTGATGTCTTCATTTCTACCAGCTGTTCGTACCTGAGAAGACCCGAATAATTCAGCAGGTGATGCCTTACATTAACTAAATACACTTCTTCCAGTGACTGCTAGTAAGAGGGGAAGAAGCCCAGGTCCACACGAAATTTACGCATGTTTTGATTGGCATCTAGGACACTATCAGACCATCCGGTCCTAACGTTACGGTATCTGCCTTGCAGCTTTCGCTTATGATGGTAGCCGTGCATGTTTTGATGGTTCTGGTCACATAGCTCATCATATACAGCTCATTCTCACCGATCCCATGTGAAATTGTCAATTTGATGTGCAGTCGACGTATCCATTAGTTGCCCGAGTAGAGTCATATGTTTCGACTGAAATAGAGAGAGAAATACCTTATGCGCACCTATGGGCGGAGTCACTTGGATCATTGTGTTAGTGGTGCGCTTCTCCATTTCTCGAGAAGAGGGCTCAGTGAGGAGGGTGCACTTGTCCAAGTGACTGCACCCACACGACCAATACAGAATGTGTCTTAAAACTGAAGGGAAATCCAAAATCGTTGAACGGTTTTTTAATAAGAGAAAGAAGGACATGTTTGTTCTTGGTATCGTACAAAATAGAAATTCGGCGCTATCGTAGCTGGTGGAGGCCAAAGTACGGCAACTACGGCTACTGCGACTCTGACGGCGCTCTTTCACTCTCCGAGAAAGTGGTTCATTGCTTTTATCAGGTTCAGGCTTACATTTTGAAGAGGACGGACGACCAGAGTCGCCTCAACTACGTTAGGGCCGAATATTCTGCTGGTTTCCATGCGGAAGATGGGTGGGCCAACGGCCTTGGTTCGGACGATCTGTAGTATAATGAGACACTCACCTTCTGATATGAACTACATTAATCTCATTCGACTTGAGGACTTGAGGCCAGTCATACTAATTCCCTAAAAATAGGTTGTTATTAGTGTGATTAATCAGCGACAAATTACAGGAGTTATGCAAAAAGAAATAGGTTTTCTAATGAGGTCACTGTTTTCACTGTTTTTCAGTTAGAGGGGCGAAGGATAGAATTTGAAGTGGGACAATAGGTGAAGAAAGCGGGCAAGTGGACACGTGGAGGAGGACATGCAGGGGCGGAGATGGTGCAGTGGTAAGAGGCGTCGCCTGCTGCACACACGGTCGCGTGGTCAGATCTCAGAATGGTTCCTAAGCGGGACAAGCTGACCCTTCGATCCCTTGAGACCGGTGAAGTGGGAGGATAAAACCATCCCAATGTACATCGGTCCCTGGAAGTACACGAGTCTGTATCACCAGATACACGTTTAGCGGTTCCCAATACGAAGGATGGAATAGTGAAGATGACTGAGTGATCAATGGCACAACTGTCTCGTTGAGCCCTGGACCCAGTTTGTGGTCTAAAGGAGAAAACAACGAGGAAGGTAAAGCACAGTTACCGCGCCAGTGTTTGGGAGAATGACTGAAGAACAAGCCAACGAAATACCACCGCTTCGCGGAACATGGTAACTGAGGAGGGGAAAAACAGCAAATCGTTAAAAGGAGGGGCGCCCTTATGGACTCGATCAAAATCCCCAACGCAGAATGTGTCCAGCTCATCATGAATGTGCAACTACCGCCACATTTAAATGAAGTGCATGCTCACATCTAGCCAGTCGGATACGGAGTGTGTAAGCATTTTGGCCTTCGCGATTCAATAGGTCACATCGGTTTGCAAGCCAAAGGGGAAGGTTTCACCTTTCACACCCAGATTAGTCGAGGTTGTGAGCCAACGATTCTTAACAAAATAAGAACAAACGGAAACCTGGTCAAAGAAGAAAAATAGGCGTTAGAGGCAAAGGTGCCCTCGAATAAAAAACGTTGCACGAACTCAGAGAATAAAATGAACGGGTTCCTGCTCAGGGTTTTCTCAAACCTTATATCCTAGCGTGGTTGACTTTGCTCCATGATGACTCATGCCTTTTCAGGGCGGAGCGACAGTCAGCTGGATCGGGGAGACGTCTCACCGCACGGGTCGAGGACTGCAGCCTCTACCTCCTCATCTTCCTAAGGGCGACGCCCTCGTTGTCAAGACCTGCTTCATTGTGTCTTCTCTCTCGTTCGTATGTTATTCTCTATGTGCCATGTATCGCGTAGTTGTATGCTTACTACAGTACGTCAGATCGTTACTTTTACCTTTACTTAGGTATGTAGATTTATGCCACATAAAACTTAGTATTATCGGTCCGTTGGTTGAAGCAGGTAATGATGCCGCTTACACTGCGTGGCGCTCGCTCACTGGTAGCAGCGAAGTGGTTCACCCCTCGCTGATGTCGGAACTTAGGAAGAGGTCTTCTCCTTTGATCTTTTCGAACTAGCTCGACAGACGGCCGCTTCGTGTTAATCATTTCACCTCGAAGATCAAAAAGGCGAAGACGACTGTGGCAGGTGTCTCCAAAGAAAGACTACAGTAACCCTCTTTTTGATCTGGGCACGCAGCTGTCAATTCTGCAGCCTGCGAAAGTCTTCCGCGTCTCCTTTCTTCTTTTGGTCGTCGCCCAGATGCCGTTTCTTCTTTCTTCAAATCGTGAGTTTACAGAAGATGTCACTGTAGCCTTTCTTTTGTCCGGTAGGGAAGTAGATGCGCGGAACAATTCGGAGGGGCTTCAAACCCATAATTGACACACACACACACAAAACGCCACAATTAAAAAACACGTTTCCCGGGAACCGGTACCGGTTGGTCAAAGACATAGACTTGTTTGTGAGTGGGACCGATGGTGAAGAAGGGACAGGGTTCGCGAAGTCAAAGGACAAACAGCTGTAGAGGATCCGCGGAAAAGGTAAGGCGTTTATTGCAGGGAGGAGTTCCTACCCAGGGTGGCGGATAGTTAGCCATTGATTGTGCTAGTCTCTCTTTCGACCGTTTGGCCCATCACACAGATTTGTTGTCGATACTTCAAAACGCCCATCTATTTTATCCGTGGTCCTCAGTTCCCCTATAATTGGTTCAGGAACTGAGAAGGCCGTCCACCTCCACACAAGGTGGGAGGCGTTCTAAGACACCGGCCAGGCCAAATAGAGCAGGGCACACCACCGGTTCGCGGGCATCCTCTACCTTTACAGTGGAGGCGCCCGCAAACCCGGTGCGCGGCGAGAGGATCCGAACCAGAGACCCTCCGTACCACGGGCGATCAATCCGAAGCAGCCGCACTGCGCCATTGGGCCGGCATAGAATATTGCTCATCCGACAGCTAAGTTATGGCGGCCGGGCATTCGCCGTATCCAGTAAGGCATGCAGCGAACAATACAACATAAGATAACTATTACATTAGTCTTCTTCGCAGTAATCTAGCAGCTCAAGCCCGTATATAGGTTCTCAAAAGCAATTGTATTTGTGAACCATTCTGCATTTCCTTTTGATCCATGCCGTTGACTGTTATAAAGGACGACGTCTTCATTTGTTTCCTAACAGCTCGCAGGGCAATGATTCCCTCTTGCAACTTGTCTTCAGTACAATGATTAATGCTCTGTTGGCATGGGTCTCTTCCTCTCTCTTTTGGCTCGCTAATTTTTTGAATTCTTGTGTAAGCTGATACTGTTTCGTT